GGCGCTCACAAGTTAAAGTCAGTTGTCCTTCAGACTGGGCTGCCTGTGCAGCTCTTGTCTCATCTACCCACCCGGATCTAGTTAGAGCACACAAGTTAAAGGGACACAGCCATTCTGATTGGTTGCCCATGCAGCCCTTCTCTGATCCCTGCCACCCCGAGCTCGGTCAGAGCACACATCTTGAAAGGACACAGTCGTTCAGACTGCCACACAGCCAATACGCCAGCCTTTGCTGGCTATCACTGCCCCTGTGGGTTCCATCTTTTACTAGAACTCGTAGAAAGGGATATACTCACTATGACAGCTTTAACATAGCCAAAAAAAATACACAAGTGAAGAGACACATAGATGAGGTTTGAGAGGGGTCCTGGCATTGCAGCCTCCATTGTCCCCAGGCACGCATGGCTCCCTCCTGTACATAAATGTTCTTGCCAATCCAAGAAGCCCAAAGATCTTTTGTGTTCAAGGCCGTTTATTGACTTCATTGTATAGTCATGTTTGGGGCCTCATTGCATAGTCATAATTGATTGAATTATTGAATATACATGATTGACTAAATCACACCCTTGCCTTTCTTGAGGTTAGCAGACCAGGCATGGTCTTTGTGGTCCTCACACATTTGCACAAATTCTAATGACAGGTCAATTCTAAAGACAGGCCAGATTGAGTTCTTTGTATCACACCTTTCTCTCTCTCTCTCTGAAAGGATAATAAGTTCAGTTTAATTAATTCGTTAATGATACAGACATTTAAATTGAAAACCAAGTCGACACACAGAACAGAAACAGATTTAATGGTTCTCCTTAGACCCTTGGGTGTTCCGGATCCACTAAGACTTTATGACAAGATTAGTGTCTTGCTAGATATGAAAGGTTCAGTTGTTTGCTGTTCCTTAGCCCTTTTATATTCCAGGCTTGTATCACTGTTAATGAAGAACTTTCTTTAAATAATAAACATTTATTATTTCTCCAGGACACACCTCCTCTTCAGTCAAACTCAGCTTCATACCAGAAAGTTGTGGAGAGGCTCAGTGTTTGGGAGTCCCTAAGTAGTGAGGCATTTTAAGTTCGGCCGAAGAACCACAACGAAAAGTCTGTTTCTCCACAGTTTTAAGAGTCAGTGGGGTAAAATTGTATTCAGAAATGGTTCCTAACTTTTGGGTTTAGTCCAGGAATGGAAGTGTATTAGACTCTTTGTTTACAAGCAGCAGAAACTCTCTGGCTAACTAAAACACAAAAAGGAGGATATGTAATTAGAAGCTCATGGAATGAATCTAAGGAAGAGTCAAATTATCAGTACTTGAAGGGTAGATACAAAGCCTTGATCAGTGGTATAAGAATTGAAACAAAGAAGTGGTATAAGAATTGAAACGAAGAAGCATACACCAAAACCTTTTTGTAACCAGCAAAAAATACTCAGAACATTTTTGTAGAAAAGTTCAGAACTAAACACTTATTACCTCCTAGAAATTAAAATATGGAAAAGAAATTTTTAAAAATCTTGACAGTTACATTGATTAACATTTGTTTGCTAGTGAGGTTGAAAACTTTTTTGAGATTGCGATTTGTAGTTCCTTTGTGAATGTGTACTCATATTCTTTGTTCATTTAGGAGATAATTTTTTCTGGTCAAATCTATCAGCCTTTTTTTCTGATTGGTTTTTCTACCTTTGCTGTTATGCTGAGAAAGGCTTTTCCCACTTAAATGTTATAGGATACATTTACATATTTTTGATTAACTAGGTCAGCCTCTTTTTTTCCCTATCCTAGAAGATTCCCTTTTGTAATGGTGGCCCACTAGGCCATGATTGTTATGAGTTGTAAGAATTAGAAATATCCCTCCCAGATTATTCTGATACTTCTCTTATCCATCTCACCCCTACCTTTACCTAGGAGGGATAATTTTATTTATTTTTACTTTTAGTTTGCTTTTTATTATGAAAATTACTTAACTGTAAATGATTCTGATGTCAAAGAGCACAAAGTAAAAACTAATATTTCTTTCTCTAGCTCTCAGTAATCCTATTCTAGATAACTAATGTTATCTGACAGAACATACAAGAAGTTATTTTAAGTATATGTACAGGAATATGTGACTAATTGTTTACATTAGGTCTTCATTCCATCTGATTTTTTTTTATGCTATTTAGTATACTGTATTTTTATGCAGATAATGCACACCTTCTACATTTGTTTGCCAGCTGCACCCTCCCCCCAAGGTATTTTCATCAGCGCTGCTATGCCAATTTTTTTCACGTTGCTGTAAAAAATAATTAGCATTGTGTGCTTGCAAAAATACCTTGTGGGGGGCGGGTGTAGTTGGCAAACGCAGAAGGCATGCGTTATTTGTGTAAAAATACGGTAAAATGGGTTTATCTTTTTTCAAATATTTATTTCTTGTCCATTTAACATTTTATGACTAATTCGTTATTTCTGCACCTTTACAAACTAGTAACTTTATTATATATCATATATGTAGGTTTATTTCTATATTTTCAGTTGCTTTAACATACCAGTATCAAACTATTTATTATTTTTATTTCAGGATTTCTCTTCCCATTCACTGGGCCATTGCTGTCTTTGAAATGCTTCTTAGCTATTATCCCTAGCCTATTTTTCCAGAATTTTAATCAGTTTTTTCACTGGAATTGCATTGAGCTTGTGTGCTAATATGGGGAGAATTGACATCTATGTAGTATTAAGTTTTGCCATCCAGGAACATGTCATGTCTGTCCCATTTGTGAAGTCAGTCACTCTGGTTTATATGTCCTTTACAACTTTACTTATGGATGTTTTAAATATTAATATTTTGCGCATACTAATTCATTCTTTTTGTGCAATAAATTTATAAAGGTTATCACTTATTGTAACATATGTAGGAGCCCCCTGTTGGCACAACAGTTCATTGCTTGGCTGTTAACCAAAACGTTGGTGGTTCAAACCCAGCCACCGGCTCCACAGGAGAAAGACCTGGTGATCTGCTTCCATAAAGATTACAGCCAAGAAAACCCTATGGGGCAGCTCTACTCTGTCACAGGGGGTCACTATGAGTTAGAATAGACTCAACGGCACCCAACAACAACATATGTTGATTATGTAGTTTTTATGAATTTTGCATATGTTTTATAAACAGCCACATTATCTGTGCTAGTAAGTTTCATTTGACTGTCTTGGATTTTTCGAGTAATAGATTTTTCAAATAATCTGTCCTTTTCTAATATGTATCTTTTTTTTTTCTTAGAGTATTGGATTGAATTTTCAATTTCAGTTGAATAGTGGTAATGATAGTGGGTCCTGTTTTGATCCTGTCTTTAATGGCCAAGACCCGTTTTTCAATTGTAGTATGGTGATGGCCATTGATTTAAGATGACTATACTTTATTACTAAGAATCATTTCGTTCTCAGTTGTTAGATTTTTTAAAATAAAAAAAGAAAAAAGAATGTTAGATTTTATTAAATGCCTTTTCAGTATCGGATGAGAAAGTCATTTGAACTTTCAATGTGGTCAATAGTCTAGAAATGTAATATTGACTCATCCTTGTATTCTTGGAATAATCCTACTTGGTCGTGGTGTATTTTTCTTTAAACACAAAGCTGGATTTTATTTTGTAATATTTTGTGTCATTAGGATAGCTCTTTTGTTTGTTTCTACATTTTCTGGTTTAGTATTAAGCTTTTAATAACCAGTTGCCATCGAGTCATTTCTGATTCATGACGACCTCGTATGTCAGAGTAGAACTGTGCTCCCTAGGGTTTTCAGTGGCTGATTTTTCTGAAGTTGATTGCCAGGGCTTTCTTCCAAGGAGCCTCTGGGTGGACTCAGACCTCCAACCTTCTGTTTAGCAGCTTTAACCACTTGAAGCACCCAGGAACTCCAGACTTACGAAAGCTTGCCAGTATACATTAGGGTACTTTGTCATGTTATATGCTTTGGATTAATTTTGGAGCTTGGTGGTGGCACAGTGGTTAAGCGCTTGGCTGCTAATCAGAAGGTCAGCAGTTTGAGTCCACTAGCTGCTCCTTGGAAACCTTATGGAGCAGCTCTGCTCTGTCCTATAGGGTTGCTGTGAGTTGGAATCGACTCGATGGTAACGGGTTTGGTTTTGGATTAATTTTAAAAGCTTAGTAATTATCTACCCTTGAAAGCTTGAGAGAACATGATTTTTTTGGACTTGATACCTTTTTGGGTCAGTGGTTATTCAAAACAAAACTCTTTCTTCTATGGCTGTTAAGTATATAGCCAGTGTGCATTGTTAGCTGTACTTGCTGTAATTTTCTAAGTCATCTTTTGAATGGTAAAGTTCACCCTCTAGGGTTTTTTTCTCTGTTGTGTTTTGTTGTCCTCCTCCCCTCCCCCCCATAAAATGGGCTTATAGAAATAATACTGTGTAAATTTTTTTGGTTATTATTTAGAACTGTTTGAACATGTTTAAACACATATTCTTTCTTGATTATCTTGTGATTCTCTTCTGGATTCTTGTATTCATTCGAAATATTCAGCAACTCTAGGATTTAAGGTTTTTTTTTATACGTTTCCCATTTTTTAGTGCTTATTTTGGTTTACTTCTTAGTTTAAGTACTTTTTTTAGTTATTTTGTGAGGACCCATATGTAAATGGTAAACTCTTCAGGAACTTGTTATATATGTTAAAATAGTCTTATCAGTGAGCAGCATATTGCTTGATTATAGTATTCATGAGTATTAGTCTTATTTCTCTCAAAATGATATAGGTTTTTCCACTGTAACGCATTATGGCAGATGCTTGATTTATTTGAGAGTCACTCTTTCCTCACATCAAGCTCAGGAAACATGTAGCTCTTTTCGTTCCTTTTTAGTATTCAATCCCATATGTTTGAATATGTATAGATGTATATATACGTGTGTGTGTGTGTGTGTGTGTGTGTGTGTGTGTGTGTGTAAACATGCATATATGTTTAATGATTAGATAATGTGTTAGCATAACTTTTTTCCATTCTAAAAATTATTCATTTTTTTTTAATAGGTGCCTTAGCTGGACCAATTATTGTGGAGCCACATGTCACAGCAGTTTGGGGAAAAAATGTTTCATTGAAGTGTTTAGTTGAAGTAAATGAAACCATAACACAAATTTCATGGGAGAAGATACATGGCAAGAGTTCCCAGACGGTTGCGGTTCATCATCCTCAGTATGGATTCTCTGTTCAGGGAGAATATCAGGGAAGAGTCTTGTTTAAAAATGATTCACTTAATGATGCAACAATTACACTGCATAACGTAGGATTCTCTGATTCTGGAAAATACATATGCAAAGCTGTTACTTTCCCGCTTGGAAATGCTCAGTCTTCTACAACTGTAACTGTATTAGGTAGGTATGCTTAAATTGGTTTTTTTTTCTTGGCGGGTGGGTGGTGATCATAACAAAAATATTTTCAAGAATTTAAGATGGTTGAGAATGTATATGTGCTTGGGTTTAAAATGATTCAAATAAGATTTTTCAAGTTCTGTCCTAAAATTCTATGATTCTAGGTTCTCTTTAAGTAAAATCCTTTGTGTCTACTTACCTATCCACGTAATGCTATCTAGTTCTAAGCTACTTACCTTATGAAAGATAGTATTGCAATTATAATACTGAGTGTTACGTTTCCTCGACATTTATTTTCACTACAGGCAGTCCCCTGATTACAAATGTGCAACTTATGTACAACCTGTAGTTATGAACCAACCCCTATAAAACCTATTGTATTAATTCTGGGTACATATAATGGTTTCTAATAACAAGTGAGCACTATGTGATGTACATCAAAACATTATTGTTATTACTGTATTATTACATTAGAGATGTTTCAGTGTATCTGAAAGTGTTTCTTTAATGTTTTTTATGTGTAGAAAAGTACGCTATATACTTTATACTGAGACATTTAACTAACTGATGTTAGATACGAACTGTACCTAGCTGTTCTGACTTATGTATAAATTTTTCTTAAAGACAGATTTAGAAACAGAACTTGTTCGTAATCTGGGGACCACCTGTATTTCCCCTCAAATTTTCAGTTACCATTTTAAGTTTTCCCATTCTCTTAAGTGATGGAATTTATCCACTTGGAGCCATTGACACATCATGTTTCAGTTTTTCACATAAAATTTTATTCCTGCTATTATAAATTTGCATAGCTATTTGCATCTGTTGCTGTTGTTGCTCTTTATAAATAATCTTCAACCTTTTATATCTGATAACTGTTGAAATTTCTGGTGGAATTTTGAATATGCTTATTAAGATTAAGATAGTCTCGCAGTGGAAAGTTGGTTTACTTTTCACTGCAATGAAAAGTAGAAAGTAAACCAACTTGTGAAGGTTGGTGAGTAACAGAATAAGGAGTAAGAAGTAATAACAACTTATATGAAGATACACTGCTCAAATTCCCCGAAAAGGATGGTTAGCTGACAACCTTTAGCTGTTAGGTCCTTTAAAATGCCCTTCAGCTTTTGAGTTGAGGTCACGTTCCTGAGGTTACCCCCCAGGCCAGTTACTGAGCATTGCAGTGGTGGCTGAAGGCAGTCTTCTTGGGGCCAGTGATTGAACAAGATAGTGGTATGAGGGCCTAGCAATTTCTACCCAGTGTGAAATGGGCAGTGTTTTGCTCCAGATCTCCCAAGTGGCCTAAGAGAATCTTTGTCACGTCTCATGATAGCACCCCTGTCCAGGCATGGACTAGTAACGTGAAACTTGCCTCCAAAAATGGAGGGTGCTGAAAGACCCAAGAAGGAGGTGGACAATTCCAGGGTGACAGCAAAGGAGTTTATTAGGGAGATTTACAGACGAAGCAAGTCCTGGGTGGCCACAGGACCAAAGCAGGTCTCTACGCACTCCAGTGGTAGGGCAGAGGTTTTATAGTGGTGGTAGACAATAGTGGCTACAAGCCAGGGGCTTACATAAGAATGACTCAGCAAACAATAATGAATTAGTGGACCACATGAGGGTGTTCATGTTCAGCCTTGCAAAGCCTGTTGCCCCTTCAGTCCACCCCTCGAGGCCAGCTCCTACAACCTGGCACCTTCCCCTTCTTGAACCGCAGTATAAGAGACCCTGTTCTCTCCCTGCTGGGAACAGATACAGAAGTGGGGTTGACCAGGTGCTGTATGGTGCCTGCGCATGTGCAAGAGACAGAGAAAGTTACTGTGTGCCCAGAACAAGGCAAAGGCTTCTCTGATAAACTGGGGGAGAGAATGCGACCCAGTTCCCAGCCTCCTTATCAGACAATGCTCTGGGCCCAGTGCCCTGGTTGGGAGGCGTAGAGGCAGACCATTCCCCCAACATCTGCCTACCCCATCTTCTTCCTCCCCCTTCTTCTAGATGTCACTCCCTAATAAACCTTTTGCATTCCTCACTTAATCTCAGTGAACCAAACAGGTACAGCAGATAAAACAGTTACCATCAAGTCAATTCTGACTTACGGCGCCCAGCCCATTATTTAATGACATAATGCTAGGATCTCTGAAATGCAGGAAAGCAGTTCAAATTTTTATATATTTCTTCATCTTGAGAGATACTGTTTAAAAATAGAAGTTAAATATTTGAGGAGTTAATATGTTTTAGGCACTGCCCTAAGAGCTGTGGGGAAATATAACTTAAATTTAAGAAATTGGTACTTTTGAGAAATTTCCTGATTGCAAGGCATAAATATCTGAAAAACCAAGTCACAGCACAACAGGGTAAAAAGGTCACAAAAATGTTCATTACCAAGAAAATAATAGTTTATATGTGAAAGAGAGAGCTCATGGGGATGAAACACCTATTTTTTCACTTCAGGTTTTTGTGTTTCACCCTAAAGTAATACAACACTTGTTGGCTTAAAACCTGAGTGTTGATGTACAAGACTAGTCATGATTTTACCCATGCCTCCTTTGCTACTTTGATCTTGACCATCACTTGTTTCACCACTCCCAACAACCCAAATGTTACAATAAACTATTTGCAGTTCTTTTTACCTGTGTTTTTCCTTCTGCCTGCATTTCCTTCCTTTTCCTCGTTTCTCCCTTCCTGTGTTCTTCTATTTAACTGTTGTCATTAGTTGCTGTGAGTTGATTCTGACTCAGGTTGACCCAGTGCATGTGTGCAGAGTAGAACTGCTCCATAGGGTTTTCAAGGCTGTGACATTTCAGAAGCAGATCGCCAGGTCTGTCTTCCAGGGTGCCTCTGGATGGGTTCGAACTGCCAGCCTTCCGGCTAGTAGTCAGCTGCTTAACCATTTGTGCCACCCAGGGACTCTACCTGTTTTATTACTGTTCATCAAATCACATCCTTTTGGAAGCCATTCTCAACCACTTCCCCCTCATCTGATACTTTTTTGCTTTTTTGCCATCATATCTTAAGCATATCTTTATTGTAGCAGTTACCATACTGTTGGTTGTATGTTTTTTCCACTGTAAGTGTGTGGCATGTGTGCCCTTTAAAATTATATCTCTAAAGCCTATAGGAGTCCCTTGCATATAGCAGTCATACAGTAAATGCTTTTTGAGTAAGATATAGGAATGAATTGGTGAACTTGATAGTTTTGTTTTGTAAAAGAAATAGTTGAGCCCGTCGTTGAAAGGTAGATTTTGAGCAAGCAAAAACGAAAGAAGCTTAAGGAGAAGTTATTCTTTTTTAATTTTTTTTTTTTTATTGTACTTTAGGTGAAGGTTTACATAACAAATAGTTTCTCATTACACACGCATATTGTTTTGAGAAGTTATTCTTGAATTGAGAGTAAGTGAACCAGGGCATCCCATCCTGACATTCAAGTTGCTGTGATGTGGTCCTACCTACCTTTCTAACCATTAGTTCTTGTACTTTATATGAAATCCTTTGATCAGGCAGCAAACCTAGTACAAAAAGCTGTATTCAACTTGAGGATGTTTGACAATTCAGAAGAAGAAACTGAGATGGTGAGCCAAGATTTTGAGATCCTTGAGAAGTGAGAAGACCATGTGCCTGAGTACTGTTCTCTTCAAAATGGGGTGTTTAATAGCTCTTCTCATATTTACCTGGTAGCCCAAAGGCTTACTCTTTCAGAATAATACTAAACCAGAAATAAACCAGTCTTCTCGAAGACTTCTAGTCCTGGTTTACATCACCTAAGTAGTCTGAATTTAAGGATATCCTGGATTGATTAGAAGAGCCCTGGTGGTTCAGTGGTTAAGTGCTTGCCTGCTAACCAAAAAGGTCGGCGGTTCAAACCTACCAGTCGCTCCACAGAGAAAGATGTGGCAGTCTGCTTCCATAGATATTACAGCCTTGGAAACCTAGTGGGGTGGTTCTCCTCTGTCCTTTAGGGTCGCTGTGAGTTGGAATCTACTCAATAGCAACGAGTTTGGGTTTGGTTGGATACGTTAGTATTTTCAGGAGCTTGGCAAAAGAAGATGCACTGCTTGTTTGGAAGGAAGGTACCTTTATTCTAGGCCTCAAATTATTTCTATGATAATTATTCACGCACAGGCATATAGTCATTTTGTTTGAAAAACCACGTGCGCTAGTAAGGAAGCCCTGGCAAGCAGCAGCCAGTACAAACAGAAACAGACCTGCAAAGACTTAAGGTGTCATTAGACACAGACTGCTGAACAATAGTGCTTATTTACTTTTTGAAGAAATAAGTCAATGTGTAAAGTTTCTGCAGAAAAAGAATTTTTTTTTTAAAATCACATGGCAGCTGGTCTTGAAGTAGATAAGTATTTAAGGCATAAAAGCAATTAACCAAAAAAGAAAAAAACAAACACACACCAAAAAAAAACAAGTAAAAACTGATACATTTGAGTACTTTAAGAACGTCTGCTCATCAAAACATACCATATATAGTCAATTAGTGTAATTGCTGTCAACAAATTATATACCTGTAATAAGTTTAATTGGGAAAAGTTGTGTGACAGATGTATTTACAGCAAGACAAGAAATAAAGAGTAGCTGCTGAGGTTGCTTAGGTACAACCAAACACCTCATGGAATTTGCTTCCTTGGTTTGGAGGTTTAGGGTCATGGTTTCATGGGAGATCTCATTTAATTGGCCTAATAATGTGTTTAGTGTTTCTGTTCTACCTCCTAGTTTGTTGTGTAGTGTCTGGGGTCTGAAAAGCTTGCAAGCAGCCATCCAAGGCACAACAGTTGGTCTCTGTTCTCTTGGAATAACAGAGGAAGAAGGAGAGTCAGGAATAGGAGGAAGATGTAAAATGTGTGGCTAATTGCCTCCATGAACAACTGCCTCTTTTGCCATGAGACCAGAAGAAATGAATGGTGCCTGGCTACCATTGCTGTATATTTTGATCCAACATTCTATAGAAGAATCCTTATCTAAGGGGGGGAGATGCAGAACAGAATTTCAGATGCTCATGGAATCCAGATTTTCTGGAGCCATGGAGGGTGGATGAACCCCTAAAATTATTGCCGAGACAATCTTTAAACTGTCAACATTCTCTGAAGTCTTCTTAAAACCAAACAATAGTTTAGCATAACTAGTAAAAATGTCTGTCGCTTTTAAGATCTATCTCTATGGGACCAAATTGACAACAGCAACTCTGAGATTAGGTGGGAACCTCGAGGGGCAGTGAGTTTATGGTAATGGGGGAGGAACAACTCAGAAAAGGAACATGAGAATGGGGTTTGTAATCAATGTCAGTGAATTGTAAATGTGTGTTTTGTTGTGTATATTAACAATAACAACAACAAAATGAAGTATTTTAAAAAAAGACGGATAAAAAGACAAGCTCTAAATTGGTAGAAGATGTTTGCACCACATATAATCAAAAGACTCTTTTCCCAAGTCTGTTCAGAACTTCTACAACATCAAAAAGAGAGATAGTTGGCTTGAGTAGGCATTTTGCAGAAGAAATTCCAAATGGTCCAGTAACATTTGAAAAGGTCCGCAATCTCATTCATAATCTGAGAAATGCAAAATAAATCTCAATGGTATGCCGTTATATACGTTCAAGATTGCAAATACTGAGAAATCGGCTAATATCAGCTGTTGGTAAGTACATTATCCAACAAGAACTCTTAAGATTGGGAATATAAACTGATGTTTTGGAAAACTTGGCATTTTCTGGTAAAGCTGGAAATACATATAGTAGATGCAGTTCTATAAGGGACAAACTAGAGAAATTTATGCACAGTATACCAAGATAGTGAATGAGAATGTTTCTCATAACATTGTTTATCTGAGACAGGAAACAATCCAAATACCCAACAGTAAATGAACTATACAGCAATTAGGAGTCCTGGTGATGCAGTTGTTAAGCACGCAGCTGCTAACTGAAAGGTCGGTGATTCAAACCTACCAGGTGCTGCTTGGGAGAAAAATGTGGCAGTCTGCTTTCTTAAAGATTTACAGCCTCAGAAACCCTGTGGGGGAGTTCTGCTCTGTCCGATAGTGTTGATGTAAGTCTGAATTGACTCGACGGCAGTGGGTTTGGGTATACAACAATTAAAACTAATATCTGTACAACTGCATATGAATCAGTTACTTCAAAATAAAAATTTGAAAAAAAATTTCTAAAATAATAAACTAAAGTTAAATACTCCAACATGATTGAATCTCAGGAGCATAAAGTTGAGTCAAAGAAAAACTATACAGAAATAAATGTAGTTCAGTTCCACTCATAGAAAGTTCAGAAACAGGCAGAGTTAAACTCTGTATTATTTAGGTTTGCATTTGTTAGTTGCAGAGCTATAATGACTAGTAAGCAAAAATCGTTTCCATAGTCAGTATAATGGTTTCACATTGAGGCAGTCAGGGTGTTAAAATCAGGGAGAGGTTTATGAGGGACTTCTGGGATGCTAATAATGTTCTTTGTTGACATTTGTGGTGGTTACATGGGTGTTTTCTATAAAAGTATTCATTGCATGTGTTGCCTGCACTTTCCCTTTGTTATTTTACAATAATTCATCTTAGAGAAAATACATATGGAAAAGATTAATATATCTTAAAGTAAATTATGAAACAGAAACAAATACATATAAGTCAAGAACAGATGCCAGTGAAAGAACCAATTAGAAATCCTGGAAATAGAAAAAGAAAGAAGTCGTTGAAATAAAAACTCATTGCACAGAGTAAACTATAGGCAAGACTGAAATTGTTGGGAGATAGGAAGAGATAGGTAGGAGATATGCGAGATAGATTAGAAGGTTCTGACATTAAGGTTACTTTTCCCTGCTTTGCATTTTACCAGAAAAAGATGGATGGTGTGTACATTACAATAAACAAAACCATTAGTGACATTACATGGTAGTATTAGTTTAATATATGTATATATTATAAGCAAAAATAGTTGGACAAATTTAACAGCCTTAATCAGTTTTTCTTTTAAAATACGAGAGAGGTTAAAAGTAAAAGTTTAAAAGGGAACATTTTAAATAAAACTATAGAGTCATATGCTGGGCCAAGAAAAAGATATTTTGTCCCCTATGGCTTCTCTCAAAGGAACATTTTTTTTTCAAATTGTAATTTAGATGAAGGTTTATAGAGCAAACAAGTTTCTCATAAACAAGTAATACACATTATTTTGTGACATCGGTTGCCAACCCCACGACATGTCAACACTTCCCCTCTTCGACCTTGGGTTCCCCATAACCAGCTTTCCTGTCTCCTCCTGCCTTCTTGTCCTTGCCCCTGGGTTGGTGTGCCTGTTTAGTCTTATTTTGTTTTATGGGCCTGTCTAATCTTTGGCTGAAGGGTGAACCTCAGGAGTAACTTTGTTACTGAGCTAAAAGGGTGTCCAGGGGCCATATTCTTGGGGTTTCTCCAGTCTCTGTCAGACCAGTAAGTCTGGTCTTTTTTTTTTTTTTGTGAGTTAGAATTTTATTCTACATATTTCTCCAGCTCTGTCTGTGACCCTCTATTGTGATCCCTGTCAGAGCAGTCGGTGGTGGTAGCTGGATACCATCTAGTTGTGCTGGACTCAGTCTAGTGGAAGCTGTGGTACTTGTGGTCCATTAGTCTTTGGACTAATCTTTCGTGTGTGTCTTTGGTTTTCTTCATTCTCCCTTGCTCCAGACGGGTTGAGTCCAGTGCAGGATCTTAGATGGCCACTCACAGGCTTTTAAAACCCCAGATACTACTCAGAATGTAGAGCATTTTCTTTATAAACTATGTTATGCCATTTGAGCTAGATGTTCCCTGAGACGAACAAAGGAACATTTTCTTAACATTTTAAATGTAGGTTCTATACTAGTAACTTACTTTAAAAAAGTATTTCCTTCAAATGCTTTTGCTGTAAAAAGAGGAAGTATGTATTAATATTACCTTTTTTCCCATTCCAGAATAATATTTTTAATCTCATAATGGAAATTATGATACAGTTCACAGAAATGCTTTTTATATACTAATTTGGAGGGAAATTTGCCTATCCCTGTAAAGTATATTTGTACCAGGGAGAGCCATCTCTATAATGGGTATATAAAGTTTTAGTCTCTTTTTTGTCCTGGGTCTTGATCATCTCTTGTTCCAAGAATCCAGTTGATGTTGTCATTACCTAAAAAGTGTGTTTGTGTGTGTGTGTGTGTTAATGCATTGTCCCTAAGCTTATGAAGTATGGCTAGATGTGGCTTGGAAGGATGCAAATATATAATATCTTATTTGAAATGTAATTTTTTTTTTTTTTTAATCAGTTGAACCCACTGTGAACCTGATAAAAGGGCCAGATTCTTTAATTGATGGAGGAAATGAAACAGTAGCAGCTATCTGTATTGCAGCCACTGGAAAACCAGTTGCACATATTGACTGGGAAGGTGATCTTGGTGAAATGGAATCCACTACAACTTCTTTTCCAAATGAAACAGCAACAATTGTCAGCCAGTATAAGCTGTTTCCAACCAGATTTGCTCGAGGAAGACGAATTACTTGTGTTGTAAAACATCCAACTTTGCAAGAGGATATCCGATATTCTTTCATATTAGATATACAATGTAAGTACATAGTAACATATACTTTTTAAATGTAAGTCATACATTTTAATTTTCTTCCTTTGATGTGTTTCTTTATCAAACTATTTTTAGTTTGAATAATATTCAGATACCTGTACAGCTTTTCCTTGTTGGCTTTTTTTTTTTTTTTTTAATAATTTTATGATTTGTTTCTATTTTCCTGGGAATTTTGTTTTTATTTTTTAATTTTATTGTGCTTTAGGTGAAAGTTTAATGCAAATTAGTTTCTAAATCAAAAATTTATACATAAATTTTTTTGTGGCATTGATTGTAGTGCTTGCAATTTGTCAACACTCTCTGTCTTTCCCTTTACACACCATGTTTCCTGTGTCCATTGATCAAGTTTTCTTGTCCCTTCTTGCCTTCTCACCTTGGCTTTTGGGCAGGTGTTGCCCAGTTGATCTTGTGTACTTGATTGAACTAAGAAGCACGTTTCTCACGTGTGTTATTGTTTGTTTATAGGCCTATTTAATCTTTGGCTGAAAGGTGGACTTCGGGAGTGGCTTCAGTTCTGAGTTAGCAGGGTGTCTGGGGGCCATAGTCTCGGAAGTTCCTCCAGTCTCTGTCAGACCAGTAAGTCTGGTCGTTTTTTATGAATTTGAATTTTGTTCTTTATTTTTCTCCCGTGCTGTCCAGGATCCTCTATTGTGATACCTGTCAGAGCGGTCGGTGATGGTAGCTGGGCGCCATCTCTAGTTCTTCTGGGCTAAGGCTGGTGGAGGCTGTGGTTCATTAGTCCTTTGGACTAGTATTTTGCTTGTGTCTTTGGTTTTCTTCATTTGCCTTTCCTCCGAATGTGATGGGACCAATAGATGTATCTTAGATGGCCACTTGCAAGCTTTTAAGACCCTAAACACCACTCACCAAAGTAGGATGTAGAACATTTTCTTTATGAACTGTTATGCCAGTTGACCTAGATGTCCCCTGAGACCATGGTTCCCAACCCTCAGTCCCAGTAACTCCATCCCTCAAGGTGTTTGGATATGTCTATGAAGCTTCTATGACTTTGCCTTGGTCAAGTCGTACTGACTTCCCCTATATTATGTGTTGTTTTTCCCTTCACCATAGTTAAAACTTGTCTACTATCTAGTTAGTGGTTCCCCCTCCCTACCTTTTTCCTCCCTCATAACCATCAAATATTGTTTTTTTCTGTATGTAAACCTTTTCTTGGGTTTTTATAATAGTGATGTCATACAATATTTGTCATTTTGTGATTATTTCACTCAGCATAATGCCCTCCAGATGCATCCATGTTGTGAGATGTTTTGCGAATTCATCATTGTTCTTTATCGATGTGTAGTATTCCATTGTGTACATATGCCATAATTTGTTTATCCATTTATCTGTTAATGGGCACTTAGGTTGTTTGCAGGGGAATTTTATTTAACCAGAACATTTTTTTATCAGTTCAGTAAAGATGGACAGATGACTTTAAGCTTGTTCTACAACTTAAAGTTATTTAACCTTGTCCTTTTCGTACCTTGAAAGTACGCTGGATTTAACTGAGTTGTGGAAATTTTACCTCAAAATGTACAATATTTAGAGGCAAACATCAACTTCTCCAGTCTGATTAATTCAGCCGTTATTAATTTTCATTGATGTTATGCATTTGTTTGCAGTAAGAACCTTGTACTTCTGTAGATGCATTTTAATTAGATTGAAATCTATATTTTTAAAATATCTTCTTTCTAATCTTATTAATCATCTTGTAAAACAATATTTTAAAAACATCACTGGAATAATAACCAATATGGCCCAACTTGTACTTAGTTATATTTTTTTGTTAAGGGGTACTCTCGTGTGTGTGTGTGTGTGTGTGTGTGTGTGTGTGTGTGTGTGTGTGTAACACATATGCATGTTTGTACAGTTTTTTGTATAAAATTTCTCAGTATTTGGTACATTCTTCATTATTTGTGTAACATTTAAAAATTTTGAGCAATAGAAGAGGTGACAGTACAGATACCTTCTATAATCATAACAATGATAAATTATGTACAGTAGTGAACGTGTTGTAGGTTCTGCTATCATTTCCATCCTTGGACAGATTATAAATTTAGACAGGTTTTTGAAGGAGATGTTGTTTTTGTTGGTTTGTGTTTTTCATATAGCATGCATAGAGTTTGAAATTACACATTTTTATTACACTTAATATAATAGTTTCTAAAGTTAATTCCAAGGCTGTTTTTCAACATTTATAGAGGTAAACTTGAGAAGCTATGGTTACATGATGTTATTACCCAGGGGCAGAGTGTCTAATAAGCAAGATAAGCAGAGGTGTACTTGTGATTACTTACTAATCTGTAGTGAACAATTGCATATGGATTTCATCACACCACATCAAAGTGCAACCCATGTGAAATTGTTGACTACACATTAGTAAGCAAGCCCACGCTTACCTTGCTTGCTCTGTCATCAGCCTCTGTCAGGGATTGTAAATTTGAAAAGAAGCTTTGATTCTATAGGCAGGTGCTATGGGTTTGTGAGAGAGAGAGAAGCTGGCCATACCTAGATGCAGAATCTTTGATGTAGTGAAAAAATGTGAAATTGTTCACTACAGATTAGTAAGTAAGCACAAGTAAGCCCTTTCTTACCTTGCTTATTGTATAATCTGCCCCATTATTACCATTGTATTCTTGAATTCTGGTACCATCTTTTCTCCTCCCTTCTCTGGAGAATCCAATTAAAATTTTTCTTTTTCTTTTACCTACCTTGCTTTCACAGACTCTTAACTTTTTCCTTTTTCTTGTAAAATTCTGATCCCAATTGTGAGTACTACTACTTTTTTTCTCATATATATTTTTCCTTCCCTGTGTCTAATAATTACTGACATTTTCTTCAGTTTGTATTATTTATAATTATAGTTATTAATCTTCTTGTTTGCTTGAATGCAGTCCTAAATATATAAAAGTTTGTTTTCTAATGTAAGACTTTATGATTATGGCTTAAATTTATTGGCTTAATCCTAAAATGTTCTTAAAGTTCTCATGGCTATTTTTGTTTTTTATTTGGGGACCTGTAAAATGTGAACAAAGTTTAAGGAAATAAGATCTTATAACCCAATTTCACACCCCAATTTGGAGGTGTTCTTTAGGATGCTGGTACCACTTTAAAGAGATTAAACTCAGAGGGACCCGAACTATTCTTTCAGTATCATTTTCTTTTTTTTTGCTACTTATTTAAATTACAAAAATCTTTGTTAATTCTTGCTATTTATAAGAGGTAGGCATTTCTTTCTTTTAATTACTAAGGTAAAACTACCACTTGTTTTGTAATCTTTTCTTTTCAGTAGGCCAGGCTTCCCTGGCAGAGTTAAAGACTGACCTTCTCTCTGTCTGCAACCTTTCGTGTAACCTTGTACTTCTTATCCAGCTTCCTGTATCTTAACTCACAGAAGGATGCAGTGTCCTGCAGGGAGCCATTCATTACACTTCCTTGGGAAGCTTTTCATAGCCCTCCCCCACCCCATCCCTAAAGTAGGCCACTCCTGTTATCTCTCCTGGCATCCTGTTCTTTGTCTTTTTTGGCACTTAGGACTGTTTAGTGAAATATTTTGAAAATTTCATCTTCCTATTACCATTAGACAGTAAACTTTATGAATACAGGGTCTATATGTATACCAAATACCTAAAACAGTACCTGGCACTTATTTGGAGCTAAATGAAATGATGGTTGAATGAATGATTAGTATTGGATTTTGTAGTTTAAAGGCATAAATGTATATTGCTGGTAGATAGGGGTAATTGCTCTTTCAACTAGTTACATTACACACACACTAAAAGACCTTTGGGTGCATTGAATAAATAAAAGTTCATTTTTTACTACAGTTGAGGCTCTTGGTAATTGACCTCAGATGTAAGTATATAACCTTAGAAAGTTTGTATCACATCTCTACATACTTATTAAATAGTAATTGTAATATAGGGACCCTGGTCTCTATAATTGAGACGATGCCTCTTAGAGGATGTCTTAGTCATCTAGTGCTTCTATAACAGAAACACCACAAGTGGATGGTTTTAACGAAGAGAAGTTTATTTCCTCACAGTTCAAGTAGGCGAAAAGTCCAAATTCAGGGCATCAGCTCCAGGGGAAGGCTTTTTCTCTCTGTTGGCCTTCTCATCAGTGTTCCCCCAGACTAGGAGCTTCTCGGCACAGGGACCCCTGTCCAAAGAACGTGCTCTGCTCCTGACACTGCTTTCTTGATGGTATGAGGTCCCCTGTCTCACTGCTCACTTCTGTCTTTTATATCTCAAGAGATTGCCTCAGGACACAATCCAGTCTTGTAGATCAG